CACCCATTGAAGAAAATGCAGCAGCGAAGGTCTCAGCATAAAAAACCTTGTCTCAGGGATGAAACGTACCAGAATTTGGAAAGAGAGAGAGCATTCAAAAAATAGGTGGTTCACAGATTCTTTACCGTGAAAACAAAGCAAACAGTCCTCAGGAATAGAGATATTACGTAATCTCAAAGCATCAGCAGTTTTTAAACCGCCAACCAGTGCAAGCCAAGCATAAACTGAATGCTTTAAAATCTTCTTTTTGAACCAAATAAATTCAAACCAGTTGCAATCCGTCAAATCTTTATAAAAATCCTCAATGAAGTCCTTATGGTAAACTTTGCTACAATTGTTCCAGATTAGACAAGGGCCATCCACATTAGTAATAGGATTGCTACGAATCAGAGCAGCCAGGTCTGTAGGAACGCTGGAAGGCAAGTTCCAGTTATGACCCAATATGAGTGAGCTTAAAAACTGAGAATTGAAGAGGTCAAGAGTGATATCACCGCCATGCTCAATGAGTGAGTGGTTATTACACCAATGATCCCAGTGCAATGCAATGGGGGGCATCAGGATTAATGACAAAGGAAAATTTCATTTTCACCTTAGTAGCAGTAGCGCAGACAGATTTCCAAAACATGCTGGCCTTAGATTGGGGAGGCTTCCACGGGGAAGAATAGTAACTAGACAGCCATTTTGAAAGGGGAGAAGAGGAATTGTACATTTTGTAGATAACAGAGCAATATAGAGCATGTTGCAAAGCACAGATAGAAGGCACCCCCAAACCTCCTTTGGAAAGAGGTCTGCAAACCTTGTCCCAGGATACCATATGGAGTTTGTGATTGCAAGAAATTTCTCCAAAAAATAGAAACCTAGAACAGTTTCTCTTAAAAAACTTGCTAACAGTTTTTGGTATGATAGACCCCCTTATCCAGTAGGAAATAGTATTTTGAATAGTAAATTTTAAATACTGCAATCTCCCCGCAAAAGAGAGAAGATTAGCCCTCCAACCAGTAAACTTTTTATACAAACTATCCATAAGAGGAAGGAAGTCTTCAACTTTGAGCTTAGTGAAAGAAATAGGGATACCAAGATAAGAGATCCTGGAAGTGATGTTGGAAATGGATAAGGCTTGACACAACATATCCCTATTTCTTTGATTCTTAGTAAACATAATGGAGCATTTATCAAAATTGATTTGAAGTCCAGAAGCAGAGGCAAAGTCTTTAAAGACGCTAGCTAGAATATTGCAGTTGTCAAGAGTAGCTTCCCCAATAATTAAATATCATCAGCGTAAAAGAGATGTGTAATGTGAAAATTACTAGAATGAAAGCCTTTAAACCCTCTCTCCTCTATAAGATTTGATAAAGCATCCATGACCAAACAGAAAAGGTATGGACTAAGCGGGCATCCTTGTCTGAGCCCGACAGTGGATGGGATATAACCTTCCAAAGCACCATCAATGACGATAGAAAAATTCACATCTGAAATGCATGCTTTTATCCAGCTAATAAAAGAGTTAGGAAATCCTTTTTGTAAAAGACGAGACAATAAGAAATCCCTAGAAACAGTATCAAAAGCTTTTTTAATATCAATTTTAGCACAGAAGATATTGCCACCCCCTTGTTTGTTTGCCACGTAGAGAATGTCTTTAGCAATAAGTATACTATCAGTAGAAATACGCGATTTCACAAAACCAGCTTGGACATCTTTAACAAGAACAGGCATGATAGGGTTGAGTCTGGCAGCTAAAACCTTAGCAATAATTTTATACAGGGTATTGCACAAAGCTATGGGGCGGTAATCAGAGATAGAAGAAGCATTATTGTGCTTTGGAATAATGGCAAGAGCAGTGGATTTGACACCATTAGGAATGTATCCTTTAATAAAAAAGGACCTAATACCTTTGCACACGGAAGGCCCAATGATATGCCAAGCAGTTTTGAAGAAATGATAGTTAAACCCGTCCGGCCCCGGAGCAGAGTTGGAAGAGCCTTTAAAAACCGCATTTTTGATTTCAGCATCCGAAACAGGGGCAATAAGAGAGGCAGCATAGAATTCCGGAACAACATCCCCAGTAGGAAAAAGATTCAGATTGAAATAGGCACGGGTTGGGGGATTGAACAAACCATGAAAATGGTTGAGAATGGGGGAGATGACCTCATCCCTAGAGATGGAAGGGTTAGAGGCAAACAAATTAACAATAGATTTAGTGCTGCCCATTCTACGTCTAATTTTAGTATACAAGAATTTCAAGTCATCCTCCCTATATTGGAGCCATTTGACCTTGGCCCTTTGGATTAACCAACTAGCATGCAAAGAAGTAAAATCAGATATTCTTACAGTGATTTCTTTGAGCATACAACAAAGAGATGCATCCAAAGGGTTAGACTCAAGGAGCCCCAAAAGATCAGATTGCTTGCCTTGTAGAGAATCCAGTTCCTGATAAATAGCTTTGGAAGAAGCCCAGCTAGCACTTTTAATGTCTCCCTTAAAACTGTCTTAGCATAGAACATAAGTGAGATAATGGATATCCAGTAAACGGCTTAGAGAAAGCCTGTAAAAGGAGAGCCCAAAAGCCATCATATTTGGTCCAAAAATTCTTAAAAAGGAATCTATGATTAGTTTGAGAAGTAACCCCCGAATGCAGAATAATGGGGCTGTGATCGGAGCATGAAGGGCTCTGATAAGAGCAAAAAGCAGAGGGATACTTCAACAACCAGCCCTCATTAACCAAAACCCTATCTAATTTGATGAATATAGGGTTGTCAGTGCGTTGGTTAAACCAAGTAAAATAACAGCCTACCGAGTGTAAATCAACAAGCCTGTTATTGAAAATCATGCTATTAATATCAACCAACGCAGAGTGATGCAAAGAATTGCCACCAGACTTCTCACCAACAAAGCGGCAACAGTTAAAATCACCCATGATAGCCCAAGGGACATTAGAGGCAGGGGCACAATTACCAACAGAAGCCCACAATTCTTTCCTTTCCATAGCATTATTTGAAGCATAAATGATAGATAATTGAAACGTAAAAGAGTTGACAACCAAGACATTACCAGTTATCATTTGAGAAGAGAGCATGGAGGGATTGAAATGCACCTTGCTAGCATTCCACTTAATCCAGATCCTACCGGAAATGGAGAGTGCAAAATTGTGATAATTTCCTTCATTAGAAAACACGGAGTGCGAAGAAGCAAAAAATGGGTCTTGAAGAGAGTTGGCATGAATACGATTCTCCAGAATGCAAATCATATCAAGATTGAAGGATTTGACAAGCCTTTTACAGCTTAAAACTTTCTCGGGCTTATTGAACCCTCTCACATTCCAAACCGCAATGGCCGGAAAGTACATCAGGAATATGAATGATGTTGGGATTTTTTGGCCTCCTTTCCCTTAGCAGATTTTTTTGGATTGTCAGACGATTGATGCTTCTTGTGAGACGATTGATGCTTCTTGTGCTTACCAGCAAGATTGGATATATTCTCCATTGACTGATTGCCCTTAGAGCAATCCTCAGGCATGTCCTGACCATTTCCCAGTTGGTTATCTAGAACAGTAAACCTGTTAGGCGAGGTAATACTAGAGGGAGGGGGATAATGTTGAATCTTCAACGAACTAGAGGAAGAAGATGTAGAATCTTCATTAGGAGAGTTTAAATTAGGTATGATAGTCCCACTAACAGCAGTGAAAGTATTCTCCTTAGAAGGTGGGACATTGATGATAGGTTGTTTATCAAAAAGATCATTTGGCAACGAAGAAGGCTGAGAGATGGGAGGCTTGGTTGAGTGGGAGGGGGAAGGAGGGGGAGAGTGAGCTTGGTAGAGAAGCGGCTGGCCAATACCATTGGCAGTTCATGTATGAAAACAAAAATATGGGATACTATATAAAACTGAAGCAAAATAAAACAAAAATAAGAGAGGCAAGCATGCTCTATAAATAAGAGAGGAAATAAGAGAGGCTAAATAAAACTGAAGCATGTTTCTGTAGTTTCCAACAAAAATAAAACTGAAGCATACTCCAACAAAAATAAAACTGAAGCATACTCCAACAAAAATAAAACTGAAGCATACTCCAACAAAAATAAAACTGAAGCATACTCCAACAAAAATAAAACTGAAGCATACTCCAACAAAAATAAAACTGAAGCATACTCCAACAAAAATAAAACTGAAGCATGCTCTATAAATAAGAGAGGCTAAATACTGAAGGAAATTGAAATGTTAAGGAAAAATTTCAGTAAAATATAACTAAGAAGATGCTCAAACAAAAATAAGTGATGTTTTACCTTGAGCACGGGACTGACGGGAGCAAGCTCTCTAAAATCCAAATCGATAAATGCTATCCTGCTTGAACACCGGATAAGAAAAACTTCAAAGAAAAATAAAAATACAGAGAAATAAAAGAAGAAGAATCAAAATCCAAACCAAATCTAAGAACTCTCTCTCAACAAACCTTTTGAACCCTGCTTGAGCACCGGTAGAACGACAGACAAGGAAGAAGAAGATGCCCTAAAAACAGGATACGCCGTCGCCGCTCAATCGCCCAGCACGCGAAATTGCGAAAACAAATATTAGACCGGTTTCAAATGGAGTTTATTACTTATTGATTCACCGATTCCGTCCCAGACCCGGTTCATGCTTGGACCGGTCCCGCGGCTGACGGCTCCCGAGTCCCGCCTCTGCTCCGCAATTCGCAAGTGCGAATTTTTTTTTCGCAAAATTTTTCGCCCGCGCAGTTTAATCGAGCCGGCTCGACGATCAAACGAGCCGAACGTAGCTTTGATCGAACTCGAGCTCGATAATACATCGAGCTCGAAATTTTGCTCGAGCTCGAGCTCGATACTCGATAAGCTCGACTCGCGAGCTCGTTAACTAGTCGAGCCCGAGTCAGCTCGCGAGCCGGCTTGACTCAGTTTGCACCCCTGCTGAGAGTCGTCACCTCATAAGTAAAAAAAAAAAGACAGGTCAGTCCCTCAGTTCTCCATTAATACCAACGACCACCTGTCATGGGAGACAAGAAGGAGATGGCAGCGATAACAGCGGCGGTGGTGGCGATCGCCGCAGTGATTCTTGGCTGGATCACCATCGAGATCGCCTGCAAGCCTTGTCTGGAAAAGGGCCGCGAGGTCATCGATCGTTCCCTCGACCCTAATTACGACCCCGACTCCCCCCGCCTCCCAGCCGCCGGTCAGCCCCTTCTCGATCCTGCAACGTCCTCCGCTTCTCCCGTCACCAAAGTCATCTGAGACCTTCACCTTCGGCGTTTGACCCGGGACTCTATATTTACAGAAAAAGATGGTAGGGTTTTAACCTTTTCATTTTCTATCTCTCTTTTTTTTGTGTGTGTTTATGGGGCTCTTTTAAACCCTTTTGAGGCCGGGTTTATGGATTGATTTGAAGGAAATGAGATGAAGCCATGGTATCTTGATTTGAGATTTTCAGATTTGTTTTCATTCTCCCCAGATGCAAATAGTGGGTTCATATGTATATGAGATTGTGCTATTAAATCAACTGATCTATGAAATTGTCTGTGCTATATGTTGTGATGTGCTTTGAATTTTATGCGATCTTATAGCTCATTGATGGTATACAGAGATGATTCTAGATTTGACATATGAAATCTGTAGGGTTCTACTATAGATTTGGGCGAATTATTGCGTCCGGATGTCCGGACATCCAATCCGGTGACACCACGTCACTCAAATACACTGGATCCCGGTGTATTTTGATGGCGTGGCGACACACCGGATTGGTGTCCGGACGAATCCGGACACCGGACGCAATAATTTGCTCTAAATTTGACATATGAAATCAAGATTCCAATTGTGCATTTATTAAATTTCCTCAACTATTTTTCTTTACTCAAACTTATTTGCTACTTTCATCATGGATTGCCAATTTCTTTGTAGATTTTCTTATCTTCCATATTGTAAAATCTCTAGAGGATCTTTAACTATTACCAACTTCTTTGGTTATAATATATGTTTCATTGTTGTAGCCGGAAAAAGTAGAAACCCAAAAGTTTTCTACTTTGGACAATGGATAATTCTCTTTAAGAAAAAACATGTGTTTTTTGTACAACTCAGCCCATTATTAAGCTCTTCTGATCTCCTATTTGTATCATGAAAATGCACTTTTATTCCTTCCTAATTAATTTAGCATTCATCATTATTCTTTAAAATAAGCAACATGAGGATATTAGAAATTGCTAATCTTTCACTTGATAAGCTTGAGTTAGAAGCTATGATATTTATATAAGATGATATAGAAGTTCAAAGACAAACCACTGAAGAAGCTAATCCTATCATTCACTCTATTGAATAGTTGAAACTTTAGGTTCTACATAATTTATGTTTTTGTTTTTGTTGTTGTATTAGACATTTAATGCTTACTTTTATTTTAATATTATAAGCTACAAGGCTACAAATGATGTTGCGTTTATTTTCTTTGTCATTTTAAATATTATGCTTTGATTGCTTTCTTTCTTTTTTTGTACTACTTATAAATTATAATGACGTATCTGTGTCGTACTCGTATCCTGTATTTTTAAGAATTGACGTGTCCCGTATCTGCATCGTGTCGTATCCGAATTGTGCAAGACGTCACATCGACTAATTGATCAGTACGATGAAGTGAGAAACTATCATTTGGTTAAGCCTTATTAAAATCTGTGTAATCCACACACATCCTCCATGCCCCACTAGCTTTTTTATCCATCATGATATTTGCAAGCCAAGTTGGATAGTGTGCTTCTTTTATGAACTTAACTTTCAGAAGCTTATCTACTTCCTACTCTATAGCTAGGATTCAAAAGATAAAAGCAATAAATCAAAGAAGTGTGATTAATCTTGGAATTTGATTACAAAATATCAGCAATAATTTCTACTTGGTTAAGGAAAAGGGAAGCTTGGGAGGCATGAACCAGGAGGGTGGTGGCCAAATGGCTTGTTGATCAGAATTCAGAGGAAAAAATCTCTCTATAGTCCCATTCTTGATGTCATAAAACCAACATCTCATGCCTTCCTTTGCTAAACCAAATCACATTGTCCATGAGAATCATAGTGAAATAAACACAATTCGGTCTCAGTTTAGAATTCTCTGAAACAGAAGCAACCAACGTATGATTACAACCAATAAATAATGAATAATTTTACAAGTCTTTTACTTTTAACCCAACAGGATTGAGGATCATATCTTTGAAGCAGACCTCATGATTTGAATCTCATTACCTCGTTCTTTCGTGTTTCAATGCCAACAATTGGACTATTGTGCTAATCTTCCCGATTGTCATAGATAAAGATATCACGACACCTAGTACCTTTGGCTGTGTATGACCTTGATGTCCTCTAGATTTGAAGCAACTCATTGTCCAAGAAAACAATATATTTGACCCAATGACATATATATATTTCTTATTTGGAGATCCAAAGATGTAGTAAAAATCTTGGGTGTTGGCATTGGATGAGAAGAAGATTTGAAGAAGTTAGTGAGGTTGAAAATGATGACGGGTCCATCGCATGCCATAGCATAGAGGCTTTGATCCTCTTGGCAGTAGACGACATCCATGAAAGACCTAAATAATCGAACTTTCAGAAGTGGGACCCATCAAGGACCTTTAGGTCTAGCCAAAATCATACAAGCATCCTCGTAATTAAAGCCATAAAAGGAGACGACCATGCCATCAGGTGGAGCATCAGTTATGATTGCCTTCGAATAAATGTGTCGTGGAAAATATTTGCCGGATATGAAAATTAGTTCATGTAGTTGACGAAATCCAAAACAGTGTTGTCGTAGCCATCAAAGATGGCTTTATTGTCGGTGGGGATGGTGAGAAGGGATGAGAGGCGGAACTCCTTGCAGGTGAGAGGGTTCAAAATGCAGGGCTCAAGCGCTAGGTCGAGTGTAACCAACCAACTACCTTAGGGAGATGATATGATGCAGCGCCGTCCGACCATCTCAGGTAGAACATATATGATTCCCTTGTCTAATCTGTTTATGAATTGAAATGAAAAATAAGTTGCTTCCTCTTTGTGTTTATTAGGAATGAGCATTCACGACATAGAGTTATCCACATGTATTAGGAGGTTTTGCGGCGATAGTGGGTAACCCCTCAACAGTCGTCCGAGAATCCAAGCCCAGTGACTGCAGACGACAGAAATTCGAGATTTGTCTGCTATGTGGAGTCGCTCGACTATCATTAGTAGAAGCTCCGGCAAGAGAGTCGACCACTTTGGCAGTGACAAAAATGACATGTCTCTGTTTTCCTTTCTCTGTTATAAAATCTATGGAATTTCTATTGGACCTAACATATATAAGTTGGCGGCAGATATCTGCAAGATTTTTTTGATATATAAAATAATGTCGGTTATTTTATTCAAAATTGTCTATATATAGAAATTAGAAAGTTATTTTCTTTAATTATTAAAAATATTTTTTTTATGATTCTTTGCCTATTGAATATCATGAAATATATAGACAACTGTATTTACTATAATATCAACTACGACATGTTTTGCCTTAATAAATCAACAAATATTTAGCTTAAATTAGAAAGAAAAAATCATTAACGTAAAACATGTCATCATCAATTATAGTCGATACAGTTGTCTACTAATTCCATGATATTCATTGGACAAAGAATAAAAAAAAAAATATTTTTAATAGTTAAAGAAAACGACTTTCTAATTTCTATATATAGAAAATTTTGAATCAAATGACCGACCTTTTCATAAATGAAAAATAATTTGCAGATATCTGCTACAAATTTATATACGTTAGGTCTAGTAGAAGTCTCATATATTCTATAACGGAGAAAGGGAAACAAAGACATGTCGTCTTTGTCGCTGTCAAAGTGGTCGACTCTCCTGCTTGAGCTCCTACTAATGGTAGTCGAGCAACTCCACATAGCAGACAGAGCTCGCGTTTCTACCATCTTCAGTTATTAGGCTTGGATTCTCAGATGACTGTTGAGGGGTTACCCACCACTGTCGCCAAACCTTCTAATACATGTGGATAACTCCATGCCGTGGATGCTTCTTCCTAACAAACATAGAGAGGAAGCCGACTATTTGTCATTCCAGATCATAAACAGATTATATAACGGAATCATATCTTTTCTACCTAAGATGGTAGGATGTAGTTGCATTGGATCCTCTCCAACTGGTTGGTTACACTCTACCTAGCGTTTGAGCTCTGCATTTTGAACCCTCTCACCCGCAAGGAGAGTAGAGATATTAGATTTGACTTATGTTAAGAAAGGTAGGGGTAGACCTAAAAAGACTTGGTTAGAAAATATTATGAATGACCTTTCTTTATTAGATTTATACGAGAATTTGACTTTTAATAGGACACAATGGAGAAAAAGGATTCATGTAGCCGACCCCACGTAGTGGGATAAAGGCTTGATGTTGTTGTTGTTGTTGTCACCCGCAAGGAGTTCCTCCTCCCATCCCTTCTCACCATCCCCAACGACAATAAAGCCATCTTTGATGGCTCCGACGACATTGTTTTGGAGTTCGTCGTCAACTACATGAACTGATTTTCATATTGGCAAGCATCTTCCGCGACGCGTTTATTCAGAGGGTAATCATTATTGACGCTCCACCCAATGACGTGGTCGTTGCCTTTTACGACTTTAATTACAAGGATTCTTGCATGGCTTTGACCCAACCTGTAGATCCTTGTTGGGTCCTTTTTTGAAAGTTTAATTATTTGGGTCTTTCATAGACGTCATCTACCGCAAAGAGGATCAAAGTCTCTACGTTGTGGCATGCGATGGAACTGTCATTGTTTTCAACCTCACTTCTTCAAATCTTCATCTCGTTCAACACCAACACCCAAGATATTTACTACATCTTTTGATCTTCAAATAAGAAATATACGTCATTTGGTCAAATATCTTGTTTTCTTGGGCGGTGAGTTGCTTCAAATCTGGAAGACATCAAGGTATTACTCGACCAAAGGTACCATGTGTCGCGATGTCTTTGTCTATGACAATCGGGAAGATGAGTCCAATTGTTGGCATGTTAAAGTGCAAGACTTGAGAAACACGATAGATCGAGGTAATGAGATTCAAATCAGGAGGACTGCTCTAAGTTCATGATCTTCAATCCTACTGGGTTAAAGTGCAAGACTTGAGAAATTATTTATTATTTATTGATTGTAACCAAACGTTGGTTGCTTCCGTTTTAGAGAATTCTGAACTGAGGTTGAATTGAGTTTATTCCACTGATGATTCTCATGGACAATGTGATTTTGTTAAGTAAAGGCATGGGATGTTGGTGTTTATGACAACAAGAATGGGACTATAGAGAGATTTTTTCCTCTGAATTCTGATCAACAAGTCATTTAGCCACCACCCTCCTAGTTCATGCCACCCAAGCTTCATTTTACCTTACCCAAGTAGAAACTATAGCCATCACATGCATTTTTTAAAGTCGGTTCCTCCCAGGCGGTGAGTAAAACTTGAGAAGATATTAGGTGTCCTCCCGCAATAGTTTTAATTTCTCCAACTATTTGGCGGTTTGCATTATGTTGCCTCTGTTGT